GCTGTGCTCTGACCCCTGTTCTTAGCCCCACAGATCTCCCATCAGCTGGGTTCCATTAGTACCAAAACATACTCTTACCTCAGCCCTGGAGGTACCCACATGCAGAAACTCTTGGGAATCTCACCTTTGCACGCCCAGGCTGGCTGTGGGAAGAAGAGCGGGGCTGGCCCAGCGAAAGGGTTCCAAGTGGCAGAGGAGAAGCAGGAGGAGCACGGCAAGCCTGGGCAGGTGGGGAGGTGCCCTGGGAGGCCTTGAGGAGGTGGGGAGGTGGGGCTGGACCCGATGCCTCCAGCCTTAGGAAGAGGCCCTGGGCAGCTTCACATAAGAGGAACCAGAGGGTGGAGGAGCTCCGGGATGATGAAGGCCAGGAGGAGGCAGGGGTGTTCTGTCTGCAGACAGTGGCAGGGGTGAAGAGATCGGACGGCCCGAGGGGAGGTCGCCAAGATCACGAGTCACTGCATAGGCAGCAAAGATGGGAACTCAATTGTGTGGCCAGGGGAGACAACGTCAAGGGAAAGTGGCCCCAGGTTGGAGCCTCAGAGACCTCAACACTCCAAAGCAGGAGGACAAGTGGAAGGAGGAGGGATAGTCAGAGCTAAGACAGGATTGGGAAGAAAAACTTCAGAATTGTGGGAGGATTATTTCAAGACCCAGGTCAACCTGGCCAAATGTCCTAGAGGTAAAACGCAGGACCTGAGGTAATGTAAGGAGGCCCCCGGGGAGGTGGTTCTCGCAGTGGTCAGGGTCACAGGCTAACCCACAAGGCAGCTGTGAGGGCCTGCGGCCATCAGCAAACAAGTAGGTACTGGTGGCCACAGAATCACTTCCACTCAGCAGGGAGCTCACATGCAAACGCATCTGGCCTATCCAGCAGTCCCTGCAAGTTAAATCACCCTCCACCAGAAACCTTGGCTGTCAAACGGGATGTTCTGCAGAGAGGGCCTAGGACAGCCTCAGGGAGAGTTCTGTAGCATGGGAACATCTGGGTAGTTCTTGTACTCCCAAGCTGCAAGCACGACACAGAGGTAGCAGAGTGAGAGACAGCAGGGCAGGGGCAGACACAGAGGATCCCTCGGTAGGCACTACCCCCTCCTCCAAAAACCTTGAAAGATACATGAGCACCCCCCCCAACCCCCAGAACCTCTGAAGACTCACACTGGAGTAAAGAGGGGAGTCCCAGAACTGACCAAGACCAAATTGCCTGGGCCCAGAAAAATGCGGACTCAAAACAGAAATGAACTTGAATGAAGGGAAAAGAGAGATGGTCTTACTTTCTCCACTCCTGAGCGGTGGGCTGAGATTCACACGTCCTACATGTGTTTGGGAGAAGTTGCTGTCTGCCTGATGCAGACTTTGTCATGTGAATATCTGTTCAAACAGCTCTGGAAAAATCTTTTCCAGTAGAATAAGTCTCTGGGATTAACTTTCCCCCCAACAGCCAGGAACGCAAGCATACACCCTGCTGCCTTCTGCTCAGAAGGCTAGGCCTGCAGAAGAAAGAAACTGGTTGGGTTGAGAATAGGTCTGGTATTGACAAAATATCACCACCTAAAGGGCAGGTGTCCCTTAAGCATACCTAACCACAGGTTGGGTTGCCCCAAAGCAGAAACTGGAAATGTTGGTATACTCGAAAACTCTTATGCTGTTCCACCAAAAGTGTATGGGCCTCAACCCACACTGCCAGCCTTGCTTTAGCTCAGGAAGGGACCCCAACTTACCCTTGGGGTGATCAAGAGCTTCTAAAATACCTTCTTAAGACACAAAGGATTTTTGAAATCTTGAAAGATTTTTGTGGACTTAAAAACAGACACAAACATTTTACCGAATTGTGTATTTCTACATAAACAACTCTGTTACAACAAAATCAGGTAAAATTCACAAAGATATACAAGTCTTCAAACAGACATTTTCTTCCCCTTAAATATAAAAAGATAATTTGCCAAATAACATCATACTCAAACCATAAAGAAAAAATCATTAGATACACAAGAGAAATAGACAGAAATTCAACAGTAGTGGGAGACATACACCTTCCTTAGTCTTTAATGGATCAAGTAAAAATTAACAGTCTATAATATAATTAATAAGGTCAAATTAATACAGATAGACGGAATTTTGTTCCCTTCAGAGATACACCTTCTTTTCCAGTTTCCTGGGAATATTTATTAAAATTGACAAGTGTTGTTCAGTCCCAAGAAGAGAGCAATAAACTCCAAAATGCAGAAATTGTACAGGCCATACCCTCTTGGACAGCAAAGCAGTTAAACTCAAAATGATTAACAAATATTAAAAACAACAATAGCAAATAAACTATCTGGAAAGTTAAGAACACAATTTCACATAACTCTCCAGTGAAAAATTAAGTTAGATCTGAAATTACAAATTATTTATAACTTAAAACACTCTACTTAAAAATGCAAGGGAAATGGATAAAGAAGTATTCAGAAGAGAAGTCACGGCCTTACAACTGCTAGTAACTGCGTCCATCATTAAACAAGACAAAGCTTGGGAAGCCTGGGTGGCTCAGTGGTTGGGCATCTGCCTTCACCTCTGGTCGTGATCCCGGGGGTCCTGGGATTGAGCCCTGCATCAAGCTCCCCACAGGGAGCCTGTTTCTCCCTCTGCCTATGTCTCTGCCTCTCTCTGTCTCTCATGAATAAATAAAATCTTAAAAACAACAACAACAACAAGACAAAGCTAAAATGGCAGTCAACTTGAGAAGGTAAAAAAATTAAGGAAATAACAATAACAAATAAAATAATAAAATGGTGAAAGGGTAAATTTGGGTTTAGGTTCTTTGAAAAGACTGATAAAATAGACTAATTCTGGAAAAACTAATTAGGATAAAAGGAAAACACAGACATACAATATTATAAATGAGAAAGGAGAATACTCCATGCTGATAAATCTGAAAATCTTAACGGAATCATTATTTAGCAAACTTAAATGGGCCAAAACTCACAGAATAGAGTTAAAATTAAAAAAAAAAAAAGAGAGTTAATTAAAAAAAAAAGTGTCAGGGAATTATTTCTTAAAAAGGCACTCGACGTGGACAGTTTTACACAGGTTATAACAATTTGAAGGAACAAAAAATTCTAAATATTATTTAAACTGTTTCTAGGGCATAGAAAAGAGAGCAAGAGCTCCCCAAGTTCTTGTTTTTTTTTTTTTTTTAAAGAAGTTAACATAAACCCAACACCAGTATCTGACAAAGCAGAGAAAAAAATTACACAACTATCCACCCTAACATATGAAAAATTCCAAGATAGGAGCAAACCAAATTCAGAATTTTTTTTATTTTAAAGCTCTTTTTATTATACAAGTAATATGTGAGACTTCTAGAAAAATCAGAAAATACGGTAAGAACACAAAATAAAAATCTACCTTAACTAACCCACCATAAATAACCACTATTAACATTGAGTAGAGATCCATATGAAAAGAATAATATACCATTACTAAGCCAGTAGTTTTTAGAAATGCAGAAAGGGTTTAGACATTAGCACGTCTATGAAAATGATTCATTTTAGGTTATGATAAAAACCATCCAATCATCTTGACAGATGTGAAAAAAAAAGGAATTTAATAAATTTCAATATCCACTACTGATAAAGCTTTCAGCAAACTAGAAAGACATAATTTTAATATAGAAATTCAAATATTAAGAATATCTTACACTAAGTCAAATCTGTACTTTTAGCAAAATACTAGTATTCTTGCTAAGTAAAAAAAAAAATCTTTTTTTTTATATATACGTAAAGATTGTACAACGCCGGCACAATGATATATGTGTTACTTAACGTTCTTCCAAAAGTGCTGGTCAATGTGATAAGGAAGAAAATGTGGAGGTAAAACTATCATCACCACCCAGAACTATTAGCTACCTGAGACAGGCAAAAGAATGAACAACAGCAAAACCACCAGAACAACAGAATACTCAGTAATTGCCTAGGTACAAAATAAACCACCAGTTGCTCCATTAAATAAACCAGTATACACCACTATGTAGAGTTAAGGATGAGGTAGATTGATATGTCCTGACACAGAAAGATGCCCAACCTCTATTGCCAAGTAAAAAACACAAGTAGTGGAAGAGTTGTAGCAGGTGGTCAAAATGATAAAAGAGAAAAACATTTTTAGAAAAAAAAAATTTGAAGAATTTGTACCAATTGTTGACTATCTCAGGGCAGAAGGTATTTTCATTATGGGGCACTTTTGGTTTGTTTTCCACTAATGTGTACATTTATATAACTCCTATAATACTTTAAATAAAAATCAGTGAGTATAATTTTCATTTTAAAAAAGTAATACTTAAAAAAAGTAATATTTTATATGGACAATAAGCAGTTGGAAACTATAATGAATGAGGGGGCTCATTTACACTGATGAGCACAACTACAAAAACTACCGATACTAGAAAAAATATATGGAGGAACATAATACTTTATTAATGTACTGCAATCAAAGTTAATATCATAAAGATGTTACTTCTCTCTGAAAAGTTAAAGCCATCAATTTTTACATGATCCAATTTCTGATTCCTCTAAACATTACAAAATGATCCTAAATTTCTTTTAGAAATAGTAATATAAAAAGTACTAACATTTTTTTGAAAAAGTTTAACTAATGGAGACATTTTGTCTAAATGTGTGATGGCCAACAGAGTGGGACCAGTGTCAGAACATACACAAGAGAATGCTCAGAAGCACACTTAATGATACAGAAGGACTGGGTGCAGGGCACCTGGGTGGCTCAGTCGGTAAAGTGTCTTCACCTCGGGTCATGATCACAGGATCACAGGACTGAGTCCTGCTTTGGGCTCCCTGCTCAGTGGGGAGTCTGCTTCTCCCTCTGCCCCTCCCCCTTGCTTGTGCACTCTCTCTCTCTCAAAAAAATAAAATTAAAAAAAAAAAGAGATTCGGTATATAATAAAAATGGAATTTCCTATCAGTAGAGAAAGATTTCCCAATTCCGAAAAAAAATTTCAGATGGATCATAGATAACATTTTTTTTCATTTTTATTATTTATTCATTGGTCTCTTTATTTTTTAAATTCCAGTATAGTTGATACAGTGTTCTATTAGTTTCAGGTGTACAACACAGGAATCAAACAATTCTAAATATCCCCCAGTGCTCATCACCATATGTGTGCTCTTCATCCCCTTTGCCTATTTCACCCCCCACACCACCACAGACTTAACTGTTTAAAAACAATGAAAGTATAAGAATAAATCCTGGTGACTATACAATCTTGCAATTGGAATCCGAAAGATCTTCATAAGCCTGAGTGCAAAGGTAGCAGGCATGAAGGAAAAGATAGGTTTGAATAAAAAGAAAAAACTGTTTAAATGTCTAAACATTTAAAAAAGCCATACACACTTTTTTTTTTTTACGGTATTTATAGGGAAAGGAGGTTCTTAGAAATCATCAAGACAGCTACACATCTTATGAGAAAAGTGACCAGAGGAGATGAATAGGTAAAGTACAAAAGAATATAGTCCAATAAGTATTTTTGCTAGTGAAGGTCACACTTTAATCAAAAAAATGCATATCAAAACTAGCCCCCAAACCCCCGGGTAACACCAGTAATTACAGGGTAAGGAGGACATTCTTATACATTGCTGGTGGGAGTAGAATTTGGTATCGGTCTTTCTGGAAGGCAATTTGAGGCAATATATATTAAAAGTCCTAAAAATATGTGTACCCTCATTAGAATAGAACATGTCACGCTGCAGTGACAAATTAACCCTGAAACCCCAATGGCGTGCCACCGGAGGTTTCTTGCTTATCCACACTCCATGTCTGTGTGGGCAGGCAGGCGGGTGTTGTGAAGGGAGAAAGAGGTTCTTCTGCAGTCACTCAAGGACCCAGGCTGACAAAGTCTCCATGGCTAGGACACCCCGCATGGAGGCAAGGGCGCAGAACCTGGAAAACTGGTCACGAGCATCTCACGATCTCGGCCTGGGAGTTTCTCAGGTCACTTCTGCCCACGTTTCATCGGCCAGAATGTCAAGGAGGCTCCTGTGTGCCCAGGAGGAGACACAGAGCAGCAGGTGTACTGCCTACCAAACTTCTGAGCCAGCAAGTCCAATTTTAGAAATTATCCTACGTAGATAATTATAAACTTTCTGAAAAGTTTATAAAGACATTAGAATGAAGGATTTCATCATATCCTTGACTGTGACAGTAAAAAAATCAGGAACCGCCCACGTACCCAAGGGACAAATCTATGCAGATACTAAAAATGATGAAATTACATCTTCAGTGATACAGAAACATAGTCACAAATATACTATCACAAGGGAAAAAAGTTATAAAACTGTGTATAACAGAATTGTTATAATTATTTCATAATTTCATGAAAAAGTAATAAAATAAATACAGATGCATAGAAAAAAGTCTGAAAAGATATATATCAGTATGTTAACAGTGGTTATAATCAGATGGTCTAATAGCAGGTAATTTTTTCCTCTTCACTCATCTGTAGTTTCTTTTTTAAAAAATGTATATATTATTTACGTACCAAAAATGCATTTAAAAAGGAAAAAAAAAAACACACCCTAGTACCCTGGGAGAGTCCCACTTGACCACCTCATACTAATCATTAAATTCTTACATTTGATATAAGAAATGCCTAATGGGCTGTTCTATCACAAGACATTGATACACCAATTTATTTAAAATCAGGACTTTATATTAAAAGTGGTACAGCAGGGTAAAAACAGTAACACATTCCCCATAACAGCTGCGGATCATCAGATCTGTCAATCATCTGCCAAAACGTCCCACAGTCTGGCCTCCACTGTGGTTTCTCTGGGCTCCTGCCAGGGGCGCCAGGGGTCTGTGTGGCCTGGGGGACCACTTTTCACAAGGCTCTGCATCATCAAAGAGAGTAGGGCACTGTACAATTCCACTTGAAACAGAAGACTCGCAAACTCATCTTCTCCTCAGCGGATTCCAGAACACATAACATCACCACCAGGATTATTAAGGACTGTTCTTAGGTATATAGATTTTTTAATTTAAAACCGTTCCTTATAGTTTCTCCCACTTTTTCAAACACACACGCAAGCACTCGCACTCCTGAGTTCACCAGAACATTCCACCCAGCTGCCAAATCATTACCAAAGTCGCCCTCTTGCCTGGCTAGTGTTTAAAGAGGAACCAGAAAAGCCCACATCCTTGAGACAGGTGTATGGAAAAGACATGTGAAGAACATACATTTCTGTACAGGATTCCCTCTCCGTGATGCCACCCCCACCAACCCCAGAATATGTAATATTTCTTTTGGAGAAACCACATACTCCGAATTAGGCTCCTTTTAAACCATGCATATCATTTAAAAATGTATACGGACACTGATTTGCAAGCTTCTAGTTTAAATTGTCAGCGCTTCAAAATCCAGTGACTATCTCAAAGAAATAAAAGAGTCATAACTTCCAGAAGGACCAGCAATACAAACGACCCGCTCTCGGTGATTAACAAAGAGCACGGCCAGCTCCTTCTTATAGGGCAGCCTTTTCGAACACCTGTGCTAAGTCACCTCATGGCTGCTTTCCTTCCAAGGGTGCGCCTGGCCGCATGTAGGGTGCCCCAGGATGGTCCCCGGCATGCCCTGTGGCTGGCTCTCATCCAACAGTGCCCCTCACTTCTACAGAAAAGCAGTCCTTTAAAATGGGCAGATGGCAGTACCTCCAGGGAGCGCCTGAACTATACTCTGTTCTACCTCTGACTCAAGCTTCACATCCAGTGCAGTACAAACCAGCCAGGCAGCACCATCCTCAGGGTGATGCTCGTGGGCTGCCCAAGTCTGGAAAGTCCACAGGGAGCCTGCAAGCTAGAGACCAAACGCCCACCCGGACAGTCCTCTGGGGGTCAAGTCAGGTCCTGCTCCACCCACTCTAAGCACTGGGCTGGCCTGCTCCCCTCCCCAGGGCTGGCTCCTGTCTGGGAAGGGGATGCGGAGCGGCTGGACAACCTCCCAGCCACAACTCTGCTCACCGCCCTGCCATCTTGGGCCTTCCCGCTTGTTTTGGACTAACTGCTCTACTTCTGCTAAAGCCACCAGTAAAGAACTTGAAGTGTTTGTGTTTCACAAAGCTGATTTCTCAGAACACGGTTATAACCAACACTCTCGGAAAGATCCTTGCAAAGCCAGAGCCACTCAAAAATGGAACCTCTTGTCTGTAATGAATGTAAATGTAATTCTAGGTCGCTTGCTTACAAATCATCACTTGCTGTGGACATATATTAAAAGAATATAGCTGCAATGTGCTCTCATCAGGACATCAGAGAATTCTTTTCCTGGCATCTAAAGGTCACAAAGGGAGAACGGTGGCATGGCCCACAGAAAGACACCAGACCAACAGCCAGGAGAGCCAGATGCACAGCCAACAAGGCTGCTCGCTAGATAGGTGACAGTGTGTCACCGTCTGTCTCTGCTTCCCATCTGCAAAATGGGGAATAACTCTGCCCAGCCCTCTCACCCACCTGAAGTTTATTGTGAGAGCACACAGGACAGCGTGGGACTGCATGCCACCCAAGCTCCAGGTCTTGCGTGGACACTGGCTTGCTCTCCCTCCAAGGCATGACCACACTGTCCCAACCTGTCACTTGGGGTCTACATTCCCTGGGTGCTAGGAAGATTTCTCCCCTCACCTCTCGATTTTGTGATGCACCCAGCTGGGTCTTTACTTAGAAAATCTTTAAATCTTTATTTATTTTAGAGGGAGAAAGAGAGAGTGGTGAGTAGGGGGGAGGCACAGAGGGACAGAGACAATCCTGAAGCAGGCTGAGCAGGGAGCCCATCACGGGGCTCGATCCCAGGACTGAGACCTTAACCTGAGCCGAAATCAAGAGGTAGCCACCTCACTAATAGAACTACCCAGGCGCCCCAGGAGTAGTTATTTTTAGGGCCTGTTATGAAGGGGTTCCATGCTTCTTTCATGTCACCCCCCTTTGGCCCCAGATTTCACAGATGTAGGACAAAAGCTAATCCAGGTCCGGGGGGCCAGCCCTGTGCATGTCAAAATCAGGAGACATGACCTGGAAAGGAAATGCAGTCCTGGCTCTAGATCCTCCGGAACCATGGCTGGCAGGCTCACAAGTGAGAGGCACACCTGCTGCCCATGCTCGGCTCCAGTGGTGGAGCTACATGTCCCAGTAGGTGAGGGCATGTCAACCTGGCTCAGGAGAAACACGGGGTGAATTTAGTGGGTCATTTTCATTCTGTGGAACCCACCTTCACGGTGCCAGGGGCTGTCAGATGGGTAGTCTCTCCATGGACCCTCCAGGTTGCCCCCAGGGCTATCTTTTTTAAATAAAGTCAATGAAAAAGCCTTAAGATCTTAGAGAAAAGCAGAAGTAAAAGGCCAGTGGTTTTGTACAGCTGTGGTGCTTTCCCTGCTGAACCCAAGCTCCCTTAGAGGAGCCCACCCCGCTCTTAGCTCCTGGGCTGCAACCCAGGAGGCCACATCATGCATCCTCACCTACTACCAGCAAGGTGCTTCCAAATTCCCCAGGGACAGGTGAGTAGCTATCATGAGTCTCAACCACAGAGGGACACAGCAGCCCACCATGGTCATGGCGCTACTTCTGCCAATGTTTCTCACCATCACTGCTATGGAGTGCATGAAGGGCTTTGGCAACTCTATTATCCTATGAATACGCCACCTGAGTGTGCTCTGGTCAGTCAAGATGGTTCCTTCCAGATCAATAAGTCACCCAACAGACAGGTGGCAGACACCATAAGACTCAAGCTCAAGTTTTGGGATCTCAGTGAGTGCTGCTCCCAGACAGCCCTAGGCCTGGTCTGCTGATGGGTGGTCTGATTTGGCCTGAGAAGAACCCCCTATAGCCATTGCTGGGCCATGGGGCCGGACCACGGCCAGCCTGGCTCTCTGGACCAGTAGGGAGCTGCTACCAACTGTCCTGAGGCCCATCTGGAGCTCTAGGGAAAAGGCAGGCCAGCAGCACCCTATCTCAAGTCACCGAGAGGTGACCATGCTCTCCACTTTGTCAGCCACGGGCCCAGTATGCTCAGGCAAAGCCGACCCACTCAGCCTGCGCGTCCCCCCCACCCCTGAGCTGCCTTGCTGCTCTGGATGACTGGCCTTCTCTCATTTCAATGAGACCTCTCTGCTCAGAGATGTGGTCTCAACGGCAGGATTCATCCTGGGGCCTGGGAGGCATCTGTGTGTCCCACCTGCCTCGTCAGGCTGTTTTATTGTTCGTCCAAATTCACCAGGGGGGAATTCTAGAAACTCTTTCTAGAAAGGGATGTTCTCTTGGTGGTTTCTCAAAGCAGGTAAGAGAGGGTAAGAAGGAGGCACCAAAGCCTCCACCACCCCAAAAGGCATTTAGAAATGCCTATGGCCGGCGATTCAAGCCATTTTGCCCCATGCAGGGCACCCACTGAGAAACTCAGTAAGAGAAGGGAGCGTTATGGCTCCGGCCCTTACCTTTAGCAGGAACGGAGAAAGACAGAGGCAGAGCTCCTATGTCACTAAGGCCATGGCTCAGCCAGTTTGAGCAAACTCTCCCTCACGGGCTTGTGTGATTCCTTAGTCATCCAGTCCCAACACAGGGTCCTATCCTAGATCCCCAGCCTGGAGAAGAGTGGTCCCGGTTTGAAGGCACCCAGGGGCACAGCACCATGGATGGGCTAGTGAGGGACCTCAGACAAGCTCCTGCTGCTTCCACTGCCACCTGCCCTGCCCTGGGGCCACCCGAGCCCATCTGGTACCTTGACCACGCACAATGAATGCCTGTCTGATAATCACCTAACACGGCAAGATGATGGATTATTCAACAGGGTCCGATGGAGGCTGCTGGGGGTGGGGAGTTGATTAACACACTAAGTGCTGTTTATATGTTGAATTGAACAAATATTTATTAAGCACCTACTTTGTACCAGGCACTGTGCTAAGCACCCTCACTGCACGCTGTTCCCACAGCACAATCATCCGCTTAGAAATTAAAACCCAGGAAAGGAACATTGTCGCAACCCTACAAACTGGAGGCGGGAGGAAGGGGGGCAGAGTGGATGCAGGTGATCCCTGTGCGCCCACCAGAGACTTGTCTTCTTTCTCTGGATGAGCCTCTGCTACGTGGCACTTGCAAACATCTTGGTTCTTACGGGAGGGAAGCTGCTACTCCCGTGTCCCACGTGCTGGTGCCCACTGAACGTTCAAACACTCTGAACGCTCGTTCAAAAAAAAGGAGGTGTAAAGGGTGTTTGTATTTGGATTAGAAAATGCTCTGTTCAGTTGGTATGGTTGCAACAGCCCTTGAGAGAGATACAAACGTCCCTGCCCTGACCGCGTAAAAGTCGAAGGGAGACCGAGCGCAAGGTTCCTGAGTCAGCATCGTCCCGGGCTCGGCAGCCTGGCCAGGCCGGGGAGGTGAGAGGGGACAGCGCCCCCGGGGTGCACACACGACGACCCGCACCTGCGCGGACGGACAGACGGACGCTCCCGCCCTCTGCCCCGCGGCCCTAGCTGTCGGCCCCCAGCTTGGAGAGGCCGCGGCGGAAGTCGTGCAGGTCATCGATCTTCCCGTCCAGCACCTCCAGGAAGCTCTTCAGCTCCACCTTCAGGTGGCGCTGGCGGTACTTACTCTCCTCAATGTCCGTTTTTAGGGAACGCACTTTGTCCTCCAGATTCTGATTGTCTCTCTCTGCCGCCTGGAGGGAGACAAATGGAGAAATGGAGAAGGGTCTGGGGCTGGGGTGGGGGGCATCCATGGAGATCAGCCATGCCCCAGCTGGCCTCTCTCCCAGACCTGCACCTCCCAGTGCCCAAGCCTGCCACCCCAGGTGGCAGCAGAGTTCAGAGCCTTCTGGGGTGTCCCCCCTCCTGCCCATTCCCCAGCAGAGGTGCTAACAGGCAGGGCGCGTGACCAGGGTCTGGCCTGATGAAGGACCGCCTGCACAGAACGCAGAGCTCAGGTTCTGCCCAGGGGAGCCTGATGCAAATGGGCCCTCTCGCAAAGCCCCGGGCAGAGAAAGTCTACAGACCCAGCACAAGGGGTTTTTCCGGCCTCAGGCCCAGAACAGTCAGCTGAGGCCACATGTTAGTTCCATTCCAGGAGACAGAAACAGGACAAATGGGTCAGTGACTTGTCTCCCTGGTTCCACATAGAGGCCAAGGCCTCCCTGGCCCCAGGCCAGCAGCTGGCCTCAGTGAGGAGGGACAGGCTGCACCAGCCTCAGGGACAGCAGTCTAGGCCCTGGGATCACATGGTGTGACCAGGGAGACCCTCAAGCTCCTCCTCAGGCCTCCTAAGGTGGCTGTGAGTCCGTAAATGAGGTGCAAACCCGTGCTCTTCAGTGAGAGCCTCACTTTCTGGACATGATGATCAGACTGTTCTGAACAGCCATCCAGGAACTAGTGACTAGTACTGGGGTTGCACACCTGAAAAAAACGCTCCTGAAGAAGGAGGAAGTGAAAGAGGATGTGGAAACTCTTCTCTGAGAATCTGAGGCCAGGAAGGGGCGCTGCCCAAGGGCATGTTCAAGGTCAGTGGCTGTGGAGTGGCAAGATGGACTAGCTCCGGGGTCTTATGCTCTCTACCCTCCCCTCTCCCCGGCTCCTCACCGCCCCAAGGCTCTGTGGAGACTTCTGTGGGCGGGACATAGTCCCTGCACTATCACTATGCACAGGACACCTTCGTAGAAGTGGAAAAACCATTAGACAAACACAGCTGAGTGTGCACCCAAGAGGCAGAGACGGCATCTGGTGTGCGGTTACTGCTGGTTTTTCATGACTAGAAAGTCGCTCTTCTTTACCAGCAGAGGTGTGAATGGGGGAAGCCCCAGAGAAACGAGTAACACCATCGATGCCTCCAGCTCGGAGCCAAGGCGGGTGTGCCCCCCACCCTTACCTCTAACTTCTCTGAGACGTATTCACACTCTGACATGAGCTGAGGTATGATTTCACTTTGTTTGCGGAGGTCTTTCAACTCCTACAGGGGACAGAAATTCAAAAAAGAATGTGAAAAGGAGTCGATAAAAGGCGATAAAATGCCTTCTTGAAACAATCTGTGTGCACACCAGTTCTTGGTGTCTGTACCCTCCTCAATAATAATCAAAGTGGTGGAGTTAATAATCAGCACACAGGTAATTCTAGGGGCTGTGTTACGGGCATTGCCATATGAAGTTTATACATCACCACGCCACCACAAAGAGACAGGGATTCTTATGATCCCCAACTTCTAGGTAGAGAAACTGAGGCAGGGACATTTGGTGCTTTGCCCACGGTCTCCAGCGTCTGTGCACTTAGCTGTCCTGCCACCCATCCCTGCCAGAAAACAAATGTCTGCCTGGCTGGGGCTCTGGCTACGTGAACAGGACAACACAACTCCACTTCTGACGATAGAGCACCTATAGAAGTTTCCGAGCATTCCATATACATCCAGCTCCCCCTCAGCTTCGAGCTCAGTACAGCTCTCGGCTGGCCCGGTGCTGATGTCCAGGCAGCTGCCCCCAGGGCCGGTCACCTGCCCCTCAGACACCTGCCATGTCCCGGGCGCACGAGGCCTGCAGGCACCTCTACTCACCGTCTCCTTCTCCCGCAGTTCAGACTCCAGGTCCTCGATTCTCCTCTTCAGCTGGGTGTTCCTCTCTTTCTCTTTGTTGATCTCGCTGCACTGCTCTTCCAGCTCGTCAATCTTTAACAGACACCACACGCTGAAGCAGGGATGCTGGTTTACTTTGGTCATTAAACAAAAGATCAGCCCACCTGTTGACGCTGTCTTTTAAGATAAACCATGAACAAACCCACTCACACGTTATTCCTTGGGGCTGTGAACAAACTCCATGTGGCCCCCCCGTGGGGCTGCCCGCCCTGCTGGCACGAGAGACCCTGCTTCACACCAGCAGAGCCCCAGCAGTCACAAAATCTGGCTGCAGGACATGCTGGGCTTCGGATTTTCTCTCACCACCTCGGGACAGGAACTTCAGGTTTGCTTTAAAGGATTCATCACGAGTAGGGGCCAGCTGTCCCATGAATCTATCTGCTTCTCCCCATAATGATTTTTTTTTTTTTACATCATTTGGTCATGTCCTGAATTATTCTATTTCATCTCAAAGGTTTAAGACAGCAGGGAAGGGAACCAATCAACTCTGTGGGACAGTGGCCACCAAATGAGACGCAATGACATTTCAAACGCTTTAAATCAGGGTGACCTTTCTTGACTGATGCACGCAGGAAGGGCCTGGCCTGTGAGCCTTCTCCCGGAGAGAAGAGAGTGGCAGACTGTACTGGCAAGTCCCCAGAGTGCCTTCTCCCCTTCCCAAGCCTGAGCCCTCAGAAGGGCCTTGCTGTGTGACAGTGTTTCCCAGCGGCCAGCACATGCGTGCAGAGTGGAATGGGACCCACAGGAACACAAAAGCAGCACACTGATGGGGTCCCACAGGCAAGCAGCAGTTCTCGAGCTGAAGGGTGCTGGCTGGTCACGATAAGGACACTTTCAGGGGTGGCTGTGCACCAGCCCTCAGGACTTGGACCCCCCAGCCATGGGAACTCCTGGGGAGTCCACCAGCTTCTACCTTGTGCCCTAGAAATCAAGCTCCCAATGCTTCCTGGACAGGGAAGCAGATGCTCCCCTCAGGTGGCGAACTCTATGGGGTGTGCTTCCTCTCCCCCAATCCCCCCACCCCATCACATTCACGCAAAGTGAGAAACCCAGCTCTCTGCTTGGAAAAAGGATAGGGCAATCGATCCCTCTGGCAGACAGATCGGCCAGCCCTCGGGAGGGAATGCACAGTCAGCACCTGGCCTGGTGCCCTCGCTGTCAGCACTTAAGGCACTGAAATGAAAAAAGGACTTGAGGCACTTTTATGTGCCATCTGTACCAAAGCAAGGTGGGGAAATGGGAGAGTGGTCTCCCATGGCTCCATTCAGGCCGAGTGGGCAGGTTACAAATGGTGGGGGGGGCAAGAGAGAGTGAATGCCCATCTCAGGGTGATGTGTCCCCCTGAAATCCTGCACTCACGCGGCGGCCGCTGTCCACGGCCTGCTGGATAAATGTGCTGCCCATCCACACCCGGCCACACAGAGACCCCCAGGGTCTCAGCTGGGGATTCTGTGGCCACCCCACAATGACCTCATCAACTCAGCCTGACCACAGACAGCGTGAGAGACTAACTACCGGGAAGGATGTTGATGAACTGCCTGGATGTGGCGGTCAGAGAGCAGAGGGCACAGGATGGCAGTCAGCACCCACACGGCTCATACTCAGAGGCCACATTCCCCGTCCAGCCTCTGAATGCAGATTCTCAGACATTGGGATATGCATGCTAGCAGGGTTTCCACGTGAACGCTCCTCACCATGTTCTCAATCCGTTTTCCTTGCTCACCCTCTGGATCCCCCTTTCTCAACAGAGGATCTGGGAACCACAGAAAAGGCCAAAGGAGGCCACTGTCCAGGAAGGGCCCCCCACAGCTAGCATCAGAGGGATGAGGCTGACTCTCCCATGTGCTCACCTTCCCCTTTGCAATAGCAACTCCAAGATGTGGCTCCCTTGGCTGTGCTCCCACAGAGAAAGTGGGGAGGTGGGCGGAGGGCTGCAAGGGGAGCAGCAGCGAGGATTCCTCCCACCACAGGGAGGGAGAAGCCCAACAGGGACCCCGGACTCAGGCCCACCCTGACACCCACCTTGTTCCGGAGCCGGTCGTTTTCATCACGGCAGATGGAGAACTGCCTCTTCCACTGCTCCACGCTGGCGGCCGACTCCTGCAGCGCTGTGCTCAGCCGGGCATTGCTCTCTCGCAGGGTCTGCAGCTCAATCTCCCATTTCTTCACATTGGCAGCACTGTGGGGCGGCCCAGGTGGTCACCCGGTGGGTGGGTGCCGTCCACCCGGCTCTACCCCCACCTGCCACCCCCCCGCCCGACACCCACCTGCCACCCCCCAGCGCAACCCCTAACTGCCATCCCACCCCACCCACCTGCCTCTGGGGGGGCCACATGCCTGCCCCCCCATCCCTCACCCCCTGAGAGGCCAGCTACTAAGATCAAATGCCAAGAAGGGCTGGTGCCTCTCTAGTGCCCATGTGTCACCTTGCCAGGCTATTTTCTTAAAGAATTGCTTTAGGAAAGAACCAAACTCATGGAGAAGGAGGAGCCCTGAAGCTAAGAGCAAAGACACAGGATGTGGAGAGGACCCCCTTCCTTCCTACTGGCCCCTGCCCTAGAACCCTCTGTTGTGTCCCTTCCTGACACAAGCCCCCAGGACACATGCTCTGCAGTGGGACTCCGAAGATCTCATGAAAGCTATAGGCCCTTTTGGACATCCCGGACACCCCAAGACCCCAGGTGTGAGAGACAGCCTGGCTCCAGGTGACAGTGGGCACCCCCCAAGCCTGCGGAGGAATCCAGAGCTGGAGATCAGAGGGCAGAGGGGACAGCAACAGCATGTGAGGGTGCCCTGGCTGAACCTTCATCTCCTCAGGGGCAAGGAAGGACCACAGGTCTACTGGACACCTCCCCTGGACAAAAACAACCTCGAGTCTGTCTTCCATCCTATGTGCTCCACAAAGAAGTTTCCAGAAACAAACTGGAATCAGGGTCCCCTCAGGGGCTTGGCTTTCACGTGCCGCTGTCTCCTGGCTTTGCAGCCCACGCAAGCGGGGAGCTGCAGGTGGCCGTGGGCAGAGCTGTGCAGGACATGCAGGATATGCCCTGTGCAGTGTCCCGCTTCTAATTGATCCTGCCTGGCTGAAGTCACTTCTGTCTCGGCAGGCTGTTTTGGGGGTGAGGGTGGGGTAAGTAAATAGAACTGCATCTCGATTATCTGTGTTATCTTCCTTCTATCCCCACAGCCTCAAGGACGTAGGAACGTGACTAGAAATATAAGCTTTCAGTTTCAAACACCACAAGCAAAAGAAAAGTAAAATGTAATCTGATTAATTTCAGAGCTGATGATGGAGAATTTAAGCTGATTTAGGGAAATGACTTCACGCTCGTTCCTATAATTCACTTGTTCATTAAGTTGGGATTTAAAAACATTTATTTTTAGGGGTGAAATGTTTTTATCCAGGCAACGTTTTGTGGCTTAAACAACAGAAGAGTGAAAAGCAGGCAATATGGTGGAGAAACTGACTAGCCATGTGACCTTAGGCATAGATTCACTCTACCATCCAGGACTCAGTTTCCTCATCTGTAAAATGGAGTTAATATGATCCAGCTCTTTAATGGGGCAAGTTGGGGAGAGCAGCTTCTCAGCCACAGAATGGCTGGGGGAAAGCTGGCCAAACCCCTGCCCGGGGGGACCACGATGATTCCCAAGGACAGCAGCTCTGAGCACCGTCACGGGGCCAGGCCCGCCATCAGGAAATGGGCCACAGTCTCAGGGGAAGAAAACATAAGCGTGGCCTGTGCGGTCATTAAAAACTAAATTGTGTTGATGTCATTACAAGGATGTTAAATTTATATGTTAATTTAGGAGAGACTCTTTTTAAAATATGAAGGCATTCCTACCACCTCCCAATAGAATGTATCTTGCTGTTTGTTAAATAAGTTATTTATGGTCCTCGAGAACATTTTAAAGCTTTCTTCACAGAGATACCATGCCCTTCTTAAGTTTTCTGTATTTTATGGTTCTAGTTCATATCATAATGAAATCTCTTCTTCAAACACATATTCTATGGGATGTGTGTTGGTACATAGAAAAACTGTTGGGGGCAGCCCGGGTGGCTCAGCGGTTTAGTGCTGCCTTCAGCCCAGGGTGTGATCCTGGAGACCCGGGATCGAGTCCCATGTCGGGGTCCCTGCATGGAGCCTGCTTCTCCCTCTGCCTGTGTCTCTGCCGCACCATCCCCCGTGTCTCGTGAATAAATAAAATCTTTAAAGAAAAAAGAAAAGAAAAGCTGTTGATTTTTGTGAGAGGTTATATTCTTTTTAATAGTTAGGGTTTTATAGGTTTTTCTTGGATATTCAAGATTCAATCTTATTATCTACAAATAAATGAGACATTTGGCTCCTCAAAAAACCAAACCAAAACACAAGCATGGGGACGCATCTCTCTCACACTTATCCACGTACAAACACACCTCCTTCATGTACCCTGTAGTCTCACACACAACCCTGGTCTGGTAGGCCATACAGAACCACCACAAAACCAGCTGGCCTTCTTTGGCCCAGAGACAGGACTGGACACTTGGAGCAAGACCCAGTCTCCTTGTGAAACCCCGCCTGGCGGGAAAGGCCGAAGGAGGCACTACACTCAGAGCAAATACCTTCTGGAGTTTAAACACACTTACCTCTGTGTCAGGGCAATCTTCAGCTTGTCGTTCTCAGACTTGAGGTGTGTGTCAGCAGGACCCGCATGAGAGGCCTTTTCATCGTCTGTCCCGTTGACACTGGATGCCTGAGTAGGAGATGGGGTTTCACACCCAGATTCCTGGCCAAAGTGAATCACCTTCACACATTATTGCTCACAGGAACAGCAAACCAGGCATGAGGAAGAAGCATGTGCGGGAGTGGGGGAGGACCAACTCATCAGACCTGAGTGCTGCAAAGACTAGCATGGCCAGACTATTAATCACCTAGTTCTGCCTCTGAAACTTAGTATATAAATAAATAAATAAATAAATAAATAAATAAATAAATAATAATAAATAAATAAATAAATAAATAAATCAAAGGAAAAGACCCAGAGGAGTCAACAGGCAGCTCAGAAAAGTCTGTGTATTTTACTGACAAGAGTACACCTGGGGCCCTGGTTTTGTCTTTCTTTACTCAACTTTAGAGATAAACCTGACAAGCTTGGATACCTGGTCTCTTACTTAACACAGAAGCCATGGATTAAAGGAGGAGGAGGATTTACAACAGGGAGCAAGAGAGAGTGAACGAGGAAAAAGTATTAGCAGCTGGAACAACTCCAAACCCCCGGGGCCACGGAGAGAGCAATGCTCATTAAGTAAACAGGAATCAGATGTGGATGTGTGCGGCCTCCACTGCTACTTAGCATTATTATGAATATTCTGAAATATTTTCTGTAATATGTCATGCCACAGGGAGGTGAAATCTCATCTGCTCTCAGGTAAGATCTTAGATCTTATTTAGCTTCCAGTAAACATAAAGGCAAAGGAAGAAACAGGAAGGGAATGATGCATACATTTGACTAACTTTAAATTTCTAAAAACAAAACAAAACAAAACAAAAACCACAGACGCCATAAATAAAATTAAAAATGCACACAGAAACTTGGGGAAAGTATCTGCTGCTGAATATTTGCATATATGAAAAACAAGGTGTTAATACCTTTCCAGTACTGAAAAACCCTCCAGGCCTTATCTATTAGAGCCACACATTGACATATCTATCAATGAAATGATAAGATGTCTGGGATTTGCTTTAAAATTGAGGGGGAGGGGCAGCCCGGGTGGCTCAGTGATTTAGCGCCACCTTCAGCCCGGGGCCTGATCCTGGAGACCCCGGATCCAGTCCAATGTCGGGCTCCCTACATGGAGCCTGCTTCTCCCTCTGCCTGTGTCTCTCTGTCTCTGCCTCTGCCTTTCTCTCTTTCTCTGTCTCTCATGAATAAATGAATAAAATCTTTAAAAAATAAAATTGAGGGGGAAGGGGGGGCACAGATGAAACAATTGGTTATAAATTCCTAATTGTTAAAGCTGACCTATGTGTCCTGTCGAGGTTCATTATATAACTCTGCCTAGCTATGAATACATTCACACAAATTAAAAAATAAAATCCTTAGGGATACCTGGGTGGCTCAGTGGTTGAGCATCTGTCTTTGGCTCAGATCACGATCCTGTGGTCCAGGGATCAAGTGCCACATCAGGCTCCCCAGACGGAACCTGCTTCTCCCTCTGCCTGTGTCCCTGCCTCTCTCTCTCTCTCTCTCTCTCTGTCTCTCATTAATAAATAAAAATAAAATCTTAAAAAAAAATTAAAAAATAAAATTCTTAGAAATGAACACAAAAAGCGGTCCTGGGACAGAGTCCCACATCAGGCTTCCTGCTTCAGTGGTGAACCTGCCTCTCCCTCTGCCCCTCCCCCTGCTTGTGCTCATGCTTTCTCTCAAATATAAAAAATCAATGCAAAAAGATTACCACTTAATTTTTTTAAAGGGGAAAAATACAAAATTGACATTTATAGAAGAATCAGTAGACACAAAAAATATTTAATCTCACTGTTAAAGAGACAAAATGAAAAAAGCAACAGAATACATTTTTCTTCTGTCAAGTCAACAAAGCTTTGCTGGTAAGAGTGTGGGAGGAAATATCGCCCTCAGTCCTGCTGGTGGGAGTTATGATCATACATTCCTGTAGGCTACATCTGCAGTATTTATCAAAAGCTTTTAATATGTCCCTGCCTTTTAACTCAATACTTCCACTTCAAGAACTTATCCTGTAGAAATTACCAAATGCACAAAGAGGTACAAGGTTCATCACAGTGTCACTTATATGAGTGAAAATGAGAAACCACGTCAATGTCCCAAAGTATAGGTTAATGGGATAAGTTGTGATGCAGACAAATACTAGAATACTGTCTAGACATTAAGACAGTTTTGAGGGACGCCTGGGTGGCTCAGTGGTTGAGTATCTACCTTTGGCTCAGGGCATGATCCTCGGTCTGGGGATTGAGTCCCACACATTGGGCTCCCCTTAGGGAGCCTGCTTCTCCCTCGACTTATGTCTCTGCCTCTCTCTGTGTCTCTCCTGAATAAATAAATAAAATCTTAAAAAAAAAAAGAGTTTTGAAAAGGGATATTTGAAAACACAGAGAAATGGTCATGACATATTAACGAAAAAGTTAAAAAGAGAAATATAAAACTATGCTAGAAAACTCTATCAGGAAGATACACACCAGAACAATAGCAAAATATCTCTGTGTGGTAAGAAAGCAGGAGGTTCTTACTCTCTTCTTTAAAGTATGGCATAGTTTTGATTTCTGCCATAAGTACATATTGCTTTTGCGTTCAGGGTAAGACCCATATAAAATGTTTAAGGTCTTCAAATAGTTGGAAAACCTGGCAAAGTGTTCACTCCCTAAGAGATTCAGGAAAGCAAGCAATCACATGATTTCTAATAAAAATTAAAAGAAAAATGTACAGTGATCTCTACATCTGGGGAGACATCAGGAAAAAAAATTAAAAACTAAAGATTAGGGCTGCCTGGGTGGCTCAGTGGTTGGGTGTCTGCCTTAGGCTCAGAGCCTGGTCCCAGGGTTCCGGAATCGAGTCCCGCATCAGGCTCCCCACGAGGGGTCTGCTTCTCCCTCTGCCTGTGTCTCTGCCTCTCTATCTCTGTGTCTCTCATGAATAAATACATAAAATCTTTAAAAAAATAAATAAAATAAAAACTAAAGATTAGATAAAATTGATATATAATTAATACACATATATAAAATAGCACCTTATGGGTATAGATTTTTTTTTTAGGGTTTAAAATATTTTTGGGAGGGGGTGCCTGGGTTGGTTGAGCATCTGAATCTTAATTCTGGCTGAGGTCATGATCTCAGGATCATGAGACCAAGTCCCAGGTTGGGCTCTGTGCTCAATAAGGAGCCTGCTTAAGATTCTCCCTCTCCCTCTACCCCTCCTTCCATGCACATGATCTTTCTTTCAAATGTACAAATACCTCTTTAAAAAAATAAATAAAAAATAAAAAACTTTTTTGGGAGAAACAAACATTAAAACAAAAACCTGGGACGCCCGGGATGGCTCAGTGGTTTAGCGTTTGCCTTCAGCCCAGGGCATGATCCTGGAGTCCCTGGATTGAGTCCCACATCGGGCTCCCTGCATGGAGCCTGCTTCTCCCTTTACCTATGTCTCTGCCTCTCTCTCTGTCTCTCATGAATAAATAAATTTTAAAAATCTTAAAAACAAAACAAAAACCTTATATAAAGAACTTCTGATTAAAGTTTAAAGGTATTGCTATAAAATGTGGTATTCAGAAGAAGATTTTGTATTAGAAACTCTTCAGATTATTTCCAGTGTCCAATTTTATAGGTTCTCAGCGATTACTCGGTATGGTAATTATTAGTACATGAAATTAACAGTATCTCTTAAAGATTCCTTAGAAAGATTCAGGAAAGCTCCTCCTGTCCACCTTAAGTCGAATTCACTTCCATGAATTCACATGGGGCATCTTCTATAGGGTGAGCCAGGACAGGCGCTGGGAAATCTCTGGTCCTCAGGGTCAGCCACAGCAGCGGACAAACCCAGAGCCCTCTGCTCTGCAGCATGGACACGAACCTCATTGGGTTCAGCAATGGGGAAGGTTCTTCTTCTCTGCTCTTCACTGGCTCCCTTCCCATAGCTGGTGCATTTCCCAAGGCTTTAGCTTTGCCCTCCTCTCCCCACTTCTTTTTGGGACAGCCAACGCTTCAGCTCTTACTTCTTCCAGGCTGCTGGTCAAGTCGAGAATGTCAGTCTTGACAGCTCAAGATGCCCAGCTTCCTGCTTCTCTGCCTACAGGCTGTCCCCGGCATCCATCCCTTACTCTTTATTAAGCCCTGTGGCTGCGTCCTTGCCAATCTACTCCCTGTTGGCTGCTCCCTGACTTCCTCACCACCTGCATGCAACCCTCATGTCAATTCCAGAGAAACAATCATGCAGCGCTTCCAATGTCTGCCCAAACTACCCAATAACAATTGAATAAGTGAATACTAAATAATAAACCAGTAATGAAGATTTCCAAGTCTTCTGCAGGATCTCCAAGGGCATCTCTCATTCCTCCCACAGTGCACCTCGCTCCCAGCCATCTGGGTTGTCTGGCTGCTGCACGGTGCTTATTCCTCACCCCAAATCTTTCCCCCTATGTCTCCTTTTGCTTGTCTCTCTGCACAGAACCTCGCTGCCCGGTTAAGCCTTCCACCTCCCACTACATCTATCAAACTAGACATCAAGAATGCAGGTATTTTTACTTTGGGCTAAAATAGATTCCTTTTAGTCAATCATCACACTTTTAAATAGGCAAAATGCTCAATTTCTGACAAAGCCGTATCTCCTTTGCTAAACCAGAGCTGTTAGAATACTATCTCCCACCTGACTTTGTTAAAACAGGGAGACAGAGACAAGGGCTCTCTATAATTACCAAGTTTTTTGTCTTGTGGCCACGAGGCACCTGTATTTGTCCTGTAGACTCACCTACCAGCATAGAAAGGAAACACATTGCCTTGTCTCTGGTATTGAAACACAGCAACAAAGAATGCCTCTTAGCAGCCAGGGGCATGTAGCAATTCTAATCTCATCAACTGCTTTCTGTCAAAAATACATGAGCACATCTGGAAAACTCAAGAGTCTCATAAAAACATGTCAGATCCACCTCAGTGGGGGCAGGCTAACAGTCAAAAAAAGCCTTCAGAATGCCCTTCTGCTGGAAGTCCCTATTTCTTGTCAAAAGTGACAAGGCGGGATCCCTGGGTGGCACAGCGGTTTAGCGCCTGCCTTTGGCCCAGGGCGCGATCCTGGAGACCTGGGATCGAGTCCCACGTCGGGCTCCCGGTGCATGGAGCCTGCTTCTCCCTCTGCCTGTGTCTCTGCCTCTCTCTCTGTGTGTGTGTGTGTGTGACTATCATAAATAAATAAAAATTTAAAAAAAAGTGACAAGGAATGAAGAGTCCCAATTACTGATCACACTCAGTTTTGTGAACAAATTACTTACTTGGGAATGATTGCTTGAGGTCTCGATTTTCTCCTGGGACTTGTCTCTGGCTAGTTTGGCAGCTTCTTTCACCTCCTGGAATTTCTCTGCAAACTGAAGATGATGAACAAGAGTTACTGAGGTTGTTCTCACTGTTACACACTGCTGGTCTTCAGAGCTCACCTTCATTGCTTTGCATTCATTTTAAGTCAATAAACTCTGTATAAATCCAGAAGGATAATTTTATTTGAGATTGAAAAGAAAGGAACATAAGGAATGCTTCTTCCAGGATACTACCAGCCCAGATCATATCTGAAGCTCTTTTAGGATTTGAGAAACAGAGAGAGAACACATGTGCCTGGGAGAGGGGCAGAGCGAGGGAGAGAATCTCAAGCAGATTCCCCCTTGAGCATGGAGCCTGACACAGGTATCGATCCCAGGACCCTGAGATCATCACCTGAGCTGAAACTAAGAGTTGGATGCTTAACCACCCATGTGCCACCCACGTGCCCCAGATATGAATCATTTTTTAAGTTGCTGAAGCTAGTTTAATAATACTAAAGCAAGTACTAAAAGCAAGTGCCTCCAGTGAACGGTAACTCATACAAATGCAAGAACATCAATGTAGCTGTACCACAGAAGGGATCCATGAAAAACTTTATAATCTCTACAAAGGATCCAAGAACTCATACAATATGATGGAAACCAACAAGGGATGCCTGGGTGGCTCAGTGGTTGAGCGTCTGCCTTTGGCTCAGGGTGTGATCCTGGGGTCCTGGGATGAGTCCCAAGTTGCACTCCCTGCAGGGAGCCTGCTTCTCCCTCTGCCTATGTCTCTGCCTCTCTAGCTGTGTCTCGCATGAATAAATAAAATCTTAAAAAAAAAAAAAACCAACAAGATCTGAAGAGCTGGGGAGAAGGAACTATTCTTGATTTTAAAGGCTTAAGCTATAGGGGTACCTGGGTGCTCAGTCAGTTAAGCATCTGCCTTCAGCTCAGGTCATGATCCCAGGGTCCTGGGAGCCTCAGGTTAGGCTCCCTGCTCAGCGGGGAGCCTGCTTCTCCCTCTCCTTCTGCTCCCCCCCCACCCCCACTTGTGCTCTCTGGCTCTGTCAAATAAATACATAAAATCTTTAAAAAATTATTTTAATGAAAGCTTAAGATATAAAATAGCAAAATGCAAAACAGCAAAAGGGAACATGGAGCCTATGACTATATTCTGTGCTGAAAAGACCATCTGTAAAAGACTCCTTGAGGAGCAACTAGGGCACCTGGGTGGCTTCAATTGGTTGATCATCTGGCTCTTGGTTTTTCAGTTTAGGTCAAGATCTCAGGGTCATAGGATCAAGCCCCACATCTGGCTCTGTGCTCAGTTTGCTTCAGATTCTCTCTCCCTCCGCCCCTCCCTGCACGTGCTCACTCTCCAAAATGAATAAAATCTTTTTTTAAAAAAGAAATGCCAATGATGTTATGGTCATGAGGGAAATGTCGTTATTTTTTTAGAGATAGATACTGAAATGTCTTGATGTCTGCAATGTACCTGGAAGCACTTCAACAACAATAAAATAGATGAAGAAATGTAGCAAATGTTAATGAGGGTTAAATCTGATGATATGTATATGGGTGTTTATTATATGATGCTTTCTACTTTAAAGAAATGTTTTAATATTTTCATTATAAAACACTCTTCAAATGCCAGAGGTAATCAAATCAATCACTGCCTTATAGTCACTGACAAGGCAACTGATTTTTAATTAGCAAATACATTGTTCGAGCAGAGAACATTCTGTGATAGATAATGCTGGCATTACAAAGCAAGAGAGAGCTAAATGTGGTTGCTGAGAAACACAAAGAGCCAGCAAGTTGCAAGGCTACCGACAGTTCTATGGCTTTTGCTGAGAATGCATTAATTTCTGGGCATGGGCTACCCCCTGAGTATCTCCATGACACAGGCAACAGTGGTCCGCTTTGGAAAACCTTGCCAGATGACAGACACCGGTGAACAAAGCATCTGGCGGAAGCAGAAAAGGTCAGCCCTTCCATTCTGGCCTGTGTTGCTCCTGCAGGACCATAAATAAAGCCACAGCCACGGGGCTTCATATTTAAGCATCCCACAGCTGTCAGAGGAAAATCACATTACTTGTTTGAAACACGTGCAGTCCAGCAGGGATGCACAAAGCCCCTCCCCACCCTGCTTCCTTTGAGGGGGCCCTGAAAGTAAACACATCATGTCAGAAACTCCTTGACAGCATGGTCCATGCCTTTCCTCTTGGCATCCTACCCAATACTGGCAGAAAGCAGGCACAAGTAAGTTTGTTCGGTGAATGAATGAACTCTGGGTTCCAGACCCATAGCTCCCCCCACCCCACTCAGCCACTTGGAAACAAATCATATCAAAGGCACAGGTCTAGTCTAAGAGTGGGGCAGCTCTTCTTCTGCTAGACAAGTGAGAATGCGCTCTGGGAGGAACTGTGGTTAAGTGTCTGGGAGTATTCACAGCCCCAACCCTCTGCTTCCTAAGCTCACCTGACCGTCTCTACCTAGGAACTAGGCAGGGCAACTCCCAGAACATGAACATTATCCCAGAAGAGATTCTGGGCAGGCACATAGAGGCCTTTCAATCTTACTAAGACATTAAAAGATTTGATTTCTAAAGGTCTTAGTTTAAATGTTTTTGGGAAAAAAAGAAAAAGAAATAAATGTTTTTGGGCCCAGTACCAATGAAAAGTCAAATACAACTTACAGAAAACTGTAGCAGACACCCTTGCTAACAGCCTCACCCACACCATACTCCGTAAGATCAGGGATGCCTCTCTCCCTGCAAGCGTCTCCATGTTTGCCAGGCCACCCAAACCAGAAGTGCTCTCTTCTTCACGGGTCCTTCATGTCCCTGTCAGGATTCCTTTCTCTCATGGGTCTTGTGTGAAGTTGCTTTTCAACTAGACTGGAAATGTCATTAGCCAGTGTCACACTCATTCAGTCAACAAATATGGTCCAAGCACCAGTTGTTCCTTCAGTGAACACATATTCCCACCATCCTGGGCTGGGCCATGTACACTGTGCAGCTATCGCAGGCTGCTCTGCCCCCCAGGAGGCCATGAGTTGAGCAGCAGAGGACACTGGCAAGCAAGTCAGTACCTAAAATTCTGCCCGGCTCTGACAGAACAAGTCACTTCTGGACAGAGCTTGGGCCTCTGTTCCCTCTGTCTTGTACCTCACCCTGAACATCCCTAACTGGTAAAGATCTTGGTTCTACTCTTGGAGACTCTCAGCCTAGGGCATAAGCTTTCAACTCCAATGGCTTCTTGCTTGTCTCTGGACACCCCTCATGATGGCTCCCTGGTGGCCCTACAGTCCCGGCCCTGGTAGGCATACTTACCACCCTCTTCCCCCTGGACCCTCAGGACAACCACATCTATATGCTAAGGAGTTTAATGACTTCTTTTTTTTTTTAAGATTTTATTTATTTATTCATGAGAGACACACATTTATTCATGAGAGAGAGAGAGGCAGAGACACAGGCAGAGGGAGAAGCAGGCTCCATGCAGGGAGCCCGACATGGGACTCAATCCCAGGTCTCCAGGATCACACCCCAGGCTGCAGGCAGCACTAAACTGCTGCGCCACCAGGGCTGCCCAATTTAATGACTTCTTGACACACCTTCTCTCTTAGGCTTCTCACCAGCATCCTGTAGGATGGGGATTCTCATCTCTGGTTTCCAGATGAGAAAGTACCCATGATCACACAGCTAATAAAGGGTAAACTTGGGATCCCTGGGTGGCGCAGCGGTTTAGCGCCTGCCTTTGGCCCAGGGCGCGATCCTGGAGACCCAGGATCGAATCCCATGTCGGGCTCCCGGTGCATGGAGCCTGCTTCTCCCTCTGCCTATGTCTCTGCCTCTATCATAAAAAAAAATAAAATTAAATTTAAAAAAATAAAAAATAAAGGGTAAACTCGAACTTGTGCCCAGATCTGTCTTCCACACACCCAGTTACCCTCTTGTGCCAACAAGGATGCCTAGAGTCTTGCCCATAGCAGTTGCTAAGTCTTTACGGATTAGATTTTCCAGTTGCAAAGAGAAGTCCCATGACCTTAAAATTAAACTGGAACTGTATTCACTCCCTCTTTAAATGAAAATTACTTACAAAAGTTTCAGCTCAAAACAGGCCATGGGGATCTTTTAGGCAAAGACAAGGCCTGAGACAAAATATCAGATGTGGAGTGGGGGGCTCGACTCGTTCTGATTGTACAGCTCTCTCCTCAGTTCCACTGAGTAACTGTCCTTCTCGAGAGTTATAAGAAGACCAGGAGCAGCTGTCATACACATCCCTATAGGACTGCAAGGTGATGGTGCCATATCAGTAATAACAGCCTAGAATAGCCCAGAAAAGGGGAAAGGACACGTCTCCTTGGCTCCCAGGGATGAGCAGAGCAGAGCAGAGTGGCTGAGGTGTCTCATCTCACTACATACACACTCACAGCAACCCTTGGGTGCTTGGTACACAAATGGGGACAGGTGGCTTTTGTAACCGCCAATGTTACACTGGGATAGAACACAGGACATCTGACACCAGCACTGGATGATAGTGTCCTAAGACCTACCTGCTTAGCGGCCAGCTTAGGTAAGTGGCCCAACTCTGACCCTTACCAGCCTTTCAAGTGCAGGCAAGTGAACCACTCTGAGCCTCGGCCTCATCTATACGATGTGGGTAACAATGCTGCCTCTGTGGGTCACTGGAGGAGAAAAGATGGGGCTTTGCTGGGTTGGTGGCAAGGGGTCAAGAGAGAGAACTGTAGCATCTCTGGCCTTCTGCAAGTAAAATAAAAGCTAAAGCCTGGAAACCACAATGTCTAGTAAAAGAGACAATTCATCCATTCAGAAACATGAACTAGTTATCGCTATGCACCAGTGGCTGAGCTGGGGACCCCGAAATAATTAAGGAAGATTTGGCTTCTGTCTTCAGAGAAATTCTGAGTTTGTAGAGGATTTGGTTTTGCCTTCAAATGGGTAAGAATAAAAAAGAAAATTTCAAAAAATAAGCTTAAAATGTAATGAAGTAGGATACGCCCTATCAGATAAATTTTAAATTAAAAAAAATCCCCTAAAAAATGTG